AATTTTGCGGCGACCCGACTCTTGTCCAAATCATTAGTTAAAATCGAATGTCATGAGTCAATTGATATATTTAGATACTCAGAAATTGCTCTAACGGTGATTTGACGATTGGCCAATATTATTTTCTTTACTTTATCAATGTTATCGCCTGTTGTTGACGTGCTCGGGCACGTTGTCCGGCACGTTGTTCGTCGTTTACATCTTCTCGGCCCTCTGAGAATATTTTGTACCACCAATAAAGATTGCTTTAGTCCAAGGTAACTATACCATATACTACAGTCAACATTCGGAATGTGTGCGCGCAGTTTATTTTGTTTTTCACACAAAATTTGATACAGATTCTTTGATCCATTTTTTAGAATAGGCAAAAATCGAAGACGAGCCAAAACACATCCAAGCAAAACAGCTGTCAAAAATTAACTGTACATTCAAAATGACCGACCTTGTCGGAGTAAGAGACATGAGCACCAACATAACGCTACAAAAAAATCAAAAATCAAATTTTCGTAGCCCGCGAAAATTCAAAATTCGCGATACTTTTTGAACAAACCTCGTACATTAAGCAATGCGTTAACTAGTTATTAATAATTTTACAACTATTATACAACTCTGTTATATTTCTAATACATCAAATAGGGATTAACCCCATGGTGAAATAAATAAAACTCAACTCAACGCTCTCTTTCTCTCTCTCTTTGTTCCATACTCTCGAAATACAGGCTAAGTTATCTTAATCTATGGACCCCCATATCTCAAATTCTATGCATAGTACAGTAAAATAGTTCAGAGAAAAGTTGCTCAATACCAAGGGGGCCATTTTTCGTGACTTAAAATTTGACCTTGAAAATGATGGGTAAAGGTCATTCCAAGGTCAATGTTTTTTTAAATAGGAACCCTTACTTTTTACCTCGGATTCGGATTCTGCATGAAATTCTACGTTCAAATAATGTAATATATGTGGGGTTCAAATGACCACCACCCCACCCCAAAGTATTTTCAAGGTCAACCTTACTTTTTTAATGGAAACCTCTATTTTTCACGTCGGATTCAAAGATTTATTTTCGTGACCTACCGAGGGTCAATTGAAGGGCAAAATTTTAAAAAGTTGGATAATAATTTTTTCAAGTTTTCTGATGAAGCAGTTACAATAAAAGTAGTTTTTTAAAACATATTGAGAGGTTACTGAGAGGTTATTGAGGTATTATTGAGAGATTATTAAGAGATTATTAAGAAGCGTTATTAAAGGGTTGACCTTCACGTTCGGCGTGCTTGTTTAATGTGAGTCTCCTTGCCCCTCACGTTCATCGTGCTTGTTTAACGTGAGTCTCCTTGCCCCTCATTTTCGGGGTGTTTGCTTAACGTGAGTCCTCTTGTCTCTCACGTTCGGGGTGCTTGTTGAACGTGAGTCCCCTTGCCTCTCACGTTTGCCACCGTTAAATTCATTAGCCACGAATAAACTGTTCAAAGTTTCCTCCGTTGTTTTCAATACACAATCGTATTCGTCTTTCAAAACTATCCACAGTTTTAAGCATCACGTTTGAGGGATGGCTTCATAAGCTATTCGAATTCTGTGCCTCATATCGTCTGTGGTCGTGGGTTCTAGAGCATAAACAACATTTATTAAGTATCTCCACACATAAAAATCAGGCAATGTCAGATCTGGAGAGAAAGCAGGCCATTTAACTGGGCCGTGTCATTCAATCCACTTGCCATTGTAGTTTTCATTCAAAAACTGACGTACAACGAGTAAAAAATGCGCTGGAGTACCATCATATTGAAACCACATTCTTATTCTCGTTGCTAAGTCAACTTCTTCTATCAGTCTCGGCAGGTGAGCCCGAAGCAACTGTAAATAAGTATGTCTATCAACGTTCCCGTCAAAAAATAGGGTCCATTCAAATAGCCATTTACTACTCCGCACCATACCATTAGACTCCATCGATTCTGATGGTCCAAAGCTCTCTATACCAGTAGGGATTTTCGTCTGATCAATAATGACAGTTATGCCTATTGAGTTCTCCATCGCTGTGAAATATAGCTTCATTTGAGAAAAGTACATATCGAAAGAAATGAGAATTATTGTCTATCATTTTCAAAGCCCATTGACAGAAACTAACATGCGCCCAAAGATAATGGTCTCAAGACTACTAATGTGTGGATCAAGATGAATAGCTGCTAAAACAACCAATATTCGCACGTCATTATCGTCGTATTGATGATGTTGGCGTTGGCACACCAGTTGTCTGGTATGTGCTCTTTCAGACAAGTTTCTTATTATCATATCAGTAGAATGTCTTCGGTCTCGGTACCATTCAGTGTACAGTCTTGATGCAGCGGCATAATTGTTATAACATTCCCCTAAAATCATTATCATATCGACAATTTCAGTAGGCATATAATCTGCCATTTCTATTGAGTATGCGTCTACAAAATAACTCAATGACTTAGAACCTCAACTTTCATATAATAATCTGATGAAGCTTTAATAATGAATACAAGATTTTAGAAAAAAGTAATACCAATCAGAAACTTTCTAGTTGACATTCATGAAAGTATTATGCATGACTTTGCGTATTAACAACATTACTGGAACATTTTTCATTCCTCGGAATTTATTATTTTGCAATGCATAACTAGAAGATATTTACATCTACACATTTTTGCATTGAAATTAAAATTGAATAAATTTAATTAAATCTTAAGTTCTTTAAGATAAAACCAATAATTTTCAATTTATTTATCTTTCAACTCGAACACGGTTAAACAGCTTCATATGACTAATCACATGAAGTGAGAGGAAGGGGGAAAAAGGAGCGAAATAATACGAGAGGGAAGGTAGAGAGAGGAATGAGTAAGCGAAGTAGTGGAAAGAATAGGATAGGAAAAGAAAGGGGGGAAGGAACAGGTCGATATTCTCTTATTTGAGTTACTTTCAAGATCAAAAGTATCACACTTAAGTTAACATGTTTCAAATAGTACTTTCATAGCGACTGCTTCGTTAGAGAACTTAAAAAAATTACTGTCCAACTTTTTTAAATTTTGCTCTTGAATTAACTCTCTGAAGGTCACGAAAACAAACTTTTGAACATTATTCCGAATATTATTTCGAGATAAATTAAGGGTTTTTATTTTATATGACCTTGGAATGACCTTGACCCATCATGTTTAAGGTCAAATTTAAGGTCACCAAAATATGATCCCCTTGGTATTGAGCAACTTTGGAACTATTTTTCTGTACTATGCATAAAATTTGAGATATAGGGTTCTACAGATTAAATTGACTCACCCTGTATGTACAGTGCCGGTCAGCCACTTTTACCCCCCCACGGGCAAAATCAGTCTAACTTCAAAGTTTTATATCTCTGGTAGAAATTAACGTACAGAGACGCGCGTGGGTGCGTTTGAAAGGTCTTGCGGAGAGCTTTCAAATAATATGACTCACGGTTGCCATCGATTGTTTTTTTAAATTTTGCAACAATTATGCAAAATTGAAAATTCTGAAATTTTTTTATTATTTTTGACAATTAGCCAATTTTGGAAAAAAAATCGTACGAAAATTTGAAGTACACCATTTTTTAGCTATTACCAAGCCCTATCTGAATCACTCATCAAAAATTTATTTTCGTCAAATATGACGCGCGCACGGGCATTTTTTCCTGGAAGTGACAGTTTTTTTCAACATTTTTTATCTCCATCAAATTGTAACAATCGAAAAAAATTTAAACGAGAAAAAATGTTTGTTGTTTCACGTAGAATACTGCAATAATTTTTTTTTTGGTTTTTCGAAAAATTTTTTTTTTCGGTTTAAATTATTTTTCAAGGTCGAAAAAAAAAAGATTTTTTTTTTTATGTAATTTACGATACTTATTATGTAGTATTATTGAATGGGTGGAAAAAAATTTTTTTTTGTGGTTTCTCATCTTTTTAGCGTACCGACTGTGAGAAAAAAAAATTGAAAAAAACCGAAAAAAAAAATTTTTCGAAAAATTAAAAAAAAAATTATTGCAGTATTCGACGTGAAAAAACAAACATTTTTTTTCCTATAAATTTTTTTCGATTGTTACAATTTGACAGAGATAAAAAATGTTGAAAAAAACTGTCACTTCCAGGAAAAAATGCCCGTGCGCGCGTCATATTTGACGAAAATAAATTTTTGATGAGTGATTCAGATAGGGCTTGGTAATAGCTAAAAAATGGTATACTTCAAATTTTCGTACGATTTTTTTTCCAAAATTGGCTAATTGTCAAAAATAATAAAAAAATTTCAGAATTTTCAATTTTGCATAATTGTTGCAAAATTTAAAAAACAATCGATGGCAACCGTTAGTCATATCATTTGAAAGCTCTCCGAAAGACCTTTCAAACGCACCCACGCGCGTCTCTGTACGTTAATTTCTACCAGAGATATAAAACTTTGAAGTTAGACTGATTTTGCCCGTGGGGGGGTAAAAGTGCGTGAGCGGCACTGTATCATTCAACTTCAAGAGAGATCGTACTTATGTAAATAATACAGTAAGTATTCAGATACACAGTGTGTTTTACAGATATAAAATGAAAGGTGATTGCTAAAAAGATATTTTAGTGTTATAAGGATTCCATACGTCTCTTTTTTTGCATACATCAATTTTTTTACATAACTCGAAATGTTAAGATAGACTAAAGATAAACTAAACTATTATTCATTTTTTCAGGAAATCTATTGGTGTACTGCTTTTTCTTTAACTAATAATTATTGTAACTGATTAAAATTCTTTTTTATAAACTATTGTGAATGAAAAGTAAACAAAAGGGGTATATTTAATTTTCTCGTTATGTAACGAATTTCCCAGTTAGTTTGTTACTGTGTCTTATTAAATTTTTCCTTTGCCTGAATTAATATGGCTTAATAATCGCTGCATGACAATTTATTAGTTTCACTGTGTAATCATATAATTATTCTGTATAATCATTCTGTATAATCACTGTATAATCATAAAATCATACCTATCTAATTTTTTCAGAGTGCGCCATATTGTATGTGGAAAGAGTCAAGTAAGAAGCTATCTGGTAATTCACAATTTGAAGGGTATAGCGTCGACCTCATTCAAGAAATAGCTCGTATATTAAAATTTAATTACACAATTCGATTAGTACCAGACGGTCGTTACGGCTCATATAACAGAGAATTAAAAGAGTGGGATGGAATGATTAAAGAACTTTTAGATCAAAAAGCAGATTTAGCTATAGCTGATCTTACAATAACATATGATCGTGAGCAAGCAGTTGACTTCACAATGCCATTCATGAATTTAGGTAAGTAAACATATAGATTATACAGATATACAAGATTTTGTATAACATTTTAGTGCTTGTTTTTCGCATTTTTAGATTAGGTTAATTCAAAAACCTGACGTGATGGAATATATCTGAAACCAGATTTAGATTCAGCGCACCAAAATCTTTAAGATAAGCTCGTTTGTCATTCAGAAAATGACCTATTATTAGTATATCTTTGTTATAATTTAAATATTGAGGATACTCATAGTTGGACACGATGTTCCTGAAGTGAGACTGAATACAAAAACAAATTTCTTACAATTTTATTATTGTACTTGATTAAAGAACGTTTGAATAGCATGCAAAAAAAATTTTAGCCCAATTCCCCCGCCCCCCTGTTTCCAAAAAACCAAGTTTTGAAATTAAAAAAAAAATAATTTTTCGGTTCATTTAACGTCTTAGATTTCTTTTTCATTTTATTAAATACACCTTTAAAAAAATTGATTACAATGATATTTAATGTAATAAGGAACATAATTAAACACAATCATATAGAGGGTGACTAGCTTACAATGTTATAAATTTATCAACTAATTTATAATACAAAATTAAACATGTTTTGCGTGATATTCTTGTACTGTGCGTAATAATTTTTCAGGGTAATCAGAATCTTTTTTCGAAACTTTATATTTGGACCAAATCGTTTTGAAATCAGCATGTAAAGATTCTACGGCCTGTTGATTATAAAATTCTAAGCCTTTTTTAATTCATTCACAAAATGTTGGGACATAGAACAAGACGACGTGAATTTTAGGCGTAATCGGAATATTTAACGTAATATAACTTTTTCGGATCTCTGAAATTGATTGTTTACAATCGTCTTGCAAAGTACAAGAAAAACAACTACTAATAACGACCTTGAAATCTCGAAATCATTTAAAATATTTCAAACATTTTATATGTGACGGAGAATTACGGCTCGACCGTTGCTCTCCGCCGGGCTCTCACTGATTCGCCGTACGCCTTGCCGAGCTAGGAGTGTGCGCTGGTTGAGCACACTCTAATCGCTCCGTCTTCTTTTTTTTTATTCTTTTCTTTTGAGGTGCGACGGCGATGGCAGCGATTGGAGGGAGCCGACGTGGAGAGCACAGCGAGAGAGAGAGAGAGAGAGAGAGAGAGAGAGAGAGAGAGAGAGAGAGAGAGAGAGAGAGAGAGAGAGAGAGAGAGAGAGAGATAGAAGATAGGCGAGAGCCAGCGAGACGTCGGCAGATCTGCGCGCGCATCTCGCTGGCGTGAAGAGGAATGGAGCAGTACCCATTGAGCAGCCGTACGATCCGCCGCGCGCACACATTTTCTTTTGGTTTTCCTGGCTTCGTTTGTGGTTTGTGAGCCCCCCCGCCCTCGCCGAAAACTTGTGGTTTTTGGGAATACGTGCCCGGTGCGCGGAACGTTGTCTGTTCGAATATTTGCCCGCGGAGGTAGTGGAGCCGGCACCGGTGCACGTGGGCGACCGGCGAGGTAACGCGGCAGTGTGCGCGTGTGCGGCCATCTTGGTGAATTGAGGTGACCGCAAATTCCTCGCCAATCCTGGGCACGAGGCGAGACACGGGCCAACGAGACCTGCACACGCACACACATTTAACAACGGCCGGCTACACACACATACGTTCGGGACTCTCTAACACACCAACACTCCAACACACCAACACATCGACGTCCAACATAGCAATAACAACGATAACATCAACAACACTAACAGGAGTAACAACGACAACACTAATAACAACGATAACAGGAATAACAACGATAATAATAACAACAATAACAACATCGCCCGGCCTCGATCGGGAAAAGATTTAAGACGCAGAAGAAGACCTGTCACCTAGACATCCGTTTTGCCTTTTCCAGAGCATTCCGCTTTCAACGAGGACAAAGGTCGCCGATAGATATACGGAGTCGACTCGAGGCAAGGTCGGTGTGGTGTTTTCTTCTTCTCTCTGTCTCTCTCTATCCGAGGCGTCGGATAAACACCTCGCAGTTCGGCAGCTCTGACGATTGCGAGGTCGCGCTTTGTTTTGTTCGGGCGGTTGTCGTTTTGTATGCGAGCGTAATTTTCTTTTATTTTGTAATTTCTGTTTATTTTGTATTTTCTACTGTTTTGCATATTTCCTACTATTTTATAGTTTATTTTATTTTGTATTTTTCTTTGATTTGTATTCTCCGATTATTTTATATTCCGTTTAATTTCCTTTTGTTTCGATTAATTTGTCCGCGATTAAGTTCCATTATTTATCATTTCGTCACCACTATTATTAAAGATTACTGTTGATTCAAACTTGGCCTCATTTATTACCCTCACAGTCGCTCCTGATCCCGTGTAACAATCCGTGTACGATTAGCGCTTGTGCTCGACGAGTTATTCAGCCGTGGGAACGATTTTGCTTCCCGAATCCCTGAATAAATAATCTGTACGGGCAGTCGCGAGCAATCCGAAGAAGGACAACTGAGATTCTCCGTTACATATATCACAAATACTTCTCAGTACGTCTACTTTGTTTAACAAAATTTTACAATTGTTTCTTGAAAATGATCAACCGTACGCAAAATCTTGCGAGATATTACATTTTTTAGCCCAAAGTAAACTATCTCTTGAGAAATCTAATTCCATGTGCATGTATAAAGTGTTGACAACGCCTAATATAAGATCAAGCTTAGGTGGTGGTATCAAATCAATAACACAGTCCTACAAAAATACCTTAATTTTTTGCACAAGCAAACCATATATGTTTTCCCAAAGAATTTTTGGCGCTGAAACCAAATCCGGCCTCAGAATTGCTCCAGCACGGCAGGATTTTGAGATATCTTAATCTAAAAGTGTGAAAATAGCGATTTTTACCTATATTTGAGGTTATGTAGCACCACGACATTATCTACACGTAAAAAACTACAAACGACATATTAAAGAAGCAGTCTAGTCCTTTTAAATGCCGTTAAGTTTGCTCAGTTTGCTTATTTTTTCTTTGAGATATTAAATTTTAAAGTTTTTCATTTCATGAATATTGTATCTTTCAGAACATATATAGCTTTGAACGTTTCGACGTCGAATTTTGTGTCAAGCGTCTTCAATCAATTACTGTTCTACAACAAAATTAAGATATATACCATGGACAGGCTAACCCAACTTCAACCTAAATTACGTCATCCCCACGAACCCTTACAGCCCTTATAAACCACTCCTACCTGAAGAGGGGTATATCAGAGACAATGTCAATGAGATATTCATTTTTTTACAGAAAAGCAGTTGATTAACCTCGCTTTACCAAGGATTAGGTGGGTTAGTTTGCTTGAGGGTTGGTAGAGGGGGTTTCTGAGAGTTGTAGGGTTTTCTGAGGATAGAATATATCAAGGAGACAACAGGTAAGCCTATCTGGTTGAGATTTTACGTTCCTCATAGAAAAGCAATTGATTAAACTCGTTCTAACCAGCGTTAGGTAGGTTAGCCTACTTGGTGGCTGGTAGGGCGGTTTATGAGGGTTGTAAGGGTATCTGGAGATAGAGTACGTCAAGGAGAAAACAGATAAGCCTATCTGTGGTTGAGATCTTAGGTTCCTCATAGAAAAGCAGTCGATTAAACTCACTCTACCCAGATTTATCGTAGGTAGGTTAGCCTGTTTGAGGGTTGGCAGAGGTGGTTTTTAAGGGTTGTAAGGATTTGTGGGAATGATATAATTTAGGTTAAAGGTAGGTTAGCCTGTCTATTGTATATATCTTAATTTTGTTGCAGAACAGTAGTTGATTGAAGTCGTTTGACATAAAGTTCGACGTCGAAACTTTCAAAGCTGTACGAGTATGTTCTGAGAGGTACAATATTTATGAAATCGAAAAACTTTAAAATACAATATATCAAAGAAAAAATAAGCTATTTGAGCAAACTCAACGGCATTTTGAAAGACTAGGCTGCTACTTTAAGATGTCGTTTATAGTTTTTTGTGTATAGAGAATGTCGTAGTGCTACGTAACCTCAAATATAGGCAAAAATCGCTATTTTCGCACTTTTAGGTTAGGATATCTCAAAATCCTGACGTACTGGAGAAATTCTGAGGCCGGATTCGGTTTCAGCGCCAAAAATTCTTCGGGGAACCATGTATGGTTTGCTTATGCTTATATTAAATTTAGGGATAGTCTTAAGTACACTTGTCGCATTATTTTCAACTGTTGTTTTGTCATCGAATCGGTGTCCTTTGAGTGGTTTTTTTAGTTTTGGAAACAGCCAAAAGTCACAAGGGGATATGTCGGGACTGTATGGAGGTTTTCGAAGCAATGCGATATTGTGTTTGCTCAAAAACTACTGCACAAGATTGGATGAATGCGCTGGCGCATTATCGTGATGGAGAGCCAGTCACCACTTTCCCAAAAGTGCGGCCGTTTTCTTCTTACTGCATCACGCAAACGTTTCAAAATTTAAACGTAGTATTCTTTATTGATTGTCTGATCTGTTGGTGCATATTCATGATGTACAATACCTTCACAATCGAAAAGGCAATCAACATTGACTTAACATTGCTCCGACTTTGACGTGCTTTTTTTGGTCTTGGCGATTCAGAATGCTTCCACTGTGAAGATTGTTGTTTTTTTTCAGGATCATAACCATAAACCTATGATTCATTACTTGTAATAACTTTTCTAAGCATTATTGACCATTTCCATATTGTCCAGAGCGATTTCTAAGCGAATGTTCTTCTGCTCTGCTGTGAGCAATTTTGGAATGAATTTCGCACACACGCGTTTCGTTCCTAAATTTTTGGTTAAAATTTCTAAAATGATAGTTTTTAGTATCCCAAGGTCTTCTTCTAGTTCTCGCACAGTGATACGACGATCTTGTTCGATTGCAAGTCGCACCTGCTCAATATTATCTGCAGTTTTTGTCGTCGAAGGTCGGCCGGAACGAGAATCACTATCGACAGAAGTGTGACCATCCTTAAACCGTTTATACCACTTTTTTATTCGTGTTTTGCTCATACACTCGCTTCTGAAGG